TGTGTGTGTCTTGTGTGTGTTGTGTGTTGTGTGGTGTTTGGATGTGTTTGAGTGTTAGTGTGTGTGTTTGGTGTATGTGTCCCTTCATCTCTCGAAAATCTTATTCTTGCTTATTTTTCTATTTTCCTTTATTATTCCCTTTTCCCTATTCCTCCATTCACCAAACTCCGAACCCTTTTTTCCGTATCTTTCTATTTCCTTGCTTTATCATCCACCTTTTCTTATACATTCCGTTATCACTCTTCTTTCACCTGCATCCCATTCATTCGTCTCGCTTGGGGAGCCTTTTGAGAACCGGTCAGGAAGGTCATCGGGTTGAAACCACTATAGTTCTCTAGAAAACATATTTTCAAATTGATATACAAGCAATTAAAATGTAATTGATAGTTATGTAGTTTGTTTTTTTGTTTTTGTCTTCTCTCTCTCTTCTTTTGTTATCTTTTTTTTACGTATTGTTTGTTGTTGTTCTTCTTTTTTTTCTCTCTTTTTGTTATCTTTTGTTTTACGTAGTTTCTTCTCTTTTTTCTCTTTTGTTATCTTTTGTTTTACTAGTTTTTCTTCTTCTTTTTTATTCTCGTTATCTTGTGTTTTTCTTTCTTGGCTCATTCGTTATTGTGTAATCATGAAAACAGTATATTCATGGGTAATATTTTCCCCAACAACCACAAAGAAAAATTAATTATAAAGATAGAAACAAACAAACTAGTGATAAACCAACATTTCAAAAAAAAAAAAAAAAAAAAAAAAAAAAAATAGAAAATAAAAAAAAGATAAAATAAAAGGTAAACATCATTAATTAGATTACACATCATATATTTTGCAAGTATGCTGAGAGTGCACAAAGTTAGTAGCAAGTAAACATACCACGGTGATATATAATATCCTTTCCACGTTTGCCTGAAATATGTGGTGTTCAACATTAATTATTGTTTCCTGCTTAAAAGAAAAGAGAGAGGTAGTAAGAGTGGAAGAGAGAGAGAGAGAGAGAGAGAGGTGAGGAGAGTTTGAAAGAGAGAGTCAGTGAGAGAGAGAGAGAGAGGGGGGAGAGAAAGAGAAGGGGAGTGTTAGAGGAGGAACAGAGAGAGAAGAGAGAGAAAGAGAAAAGAGAGAGGGAGTAGAGGAAAGAGAGAGAGAGAGAGAGAGAGAGAGATATAGAGAAAAGCGAGAGAGAGAAGAGAGACAGAGAAGAGAGAGAAGAGAGACAGAGAGAGAAAGAGCGAGAGAGGTAAGCAAGGAGCAAGGACAGACAGGAGGGAGAGAGAAAAAGAAATGACAGACAGACAGACAGAAAGAGAGAGAAGGGGAAAGATTAAAAGATTCTAGCCATGCAATAGCGTCCACAAGCAGAAACACACTGATAAACAGACGATTTCACACACACACACACACACACACACACACACACACACACACACGACACACACACACAGATAGACTTAGATACATAGACAGATAGAGATAAATAGTCAAAAGAGATAGGAAAGATAGATAAAGTGACAGACGAACGAAGAAATATATCCATCAACATAAGTACCTAATACAGACAAACACCAAACTCCACAGGCTCCACATACACCCTCGTGTTATTTGAATGCTACACCCAAGCGTATGTTACACTACTCTTAGAGATTACTTTCCCCTCATTTGCATATGGTGATTTGACCTCTTTGACGATCCTTACGTGATCTGCCTAAGGGAAACGCCCATTGACAGGTGAAGCATTCGTAGTCACTGACATAAGAACTTGAGGTGGATGAGAAAGAGGGAAAGAGAGTGGATGAGGAAGAGGGAATGAGAGAGTGGATGAGAAAAGGGAATGAGAGAGTGGATGAGGAAGAGAATGAGAGAGTGGATGAGAAAGAGGAATGAGAGAGAGTGGATGAAGAAGAGGGAAGAGGAGTGGATGAGAAGAGGGAATGAGAGAGTGGATGAGGAAGAGGGATGATGAAGAGGATGAGAGAGTGGATGAGAAAGAGGAATGAGAGAGATGAGAAGAGGGAATGAGATGAGGAAGAGGAATGAGAGAGTGGATGAGAGAAGGAGGGAATGAGAAGAGGGAATGAGAGAGTGGATGAGAAAGAGGGGATGAAGAGTGGAATGAGAGAAATGGGAATGAGAGAGTGGATGAGAGAGGGAATGAGAGAGTGGATGAGAAAGGGAATGAGAGAGTGGATGAGAAAGAGGGAATGAGAGATGGATGAGAAAGAGGGAATGAGAGAGTGGATGAAAAGAGGGAATGAGAGAGTGGATGAGGAAGAGGGAATGAGAGAGGGATGAGAAAGAGGGAGAGAGAGAGGGATGGATGAGGAAGAGGAATGAGAGAGTGGATGAGGAAGATGGATGAGGAGAGGGAATGAGAGAGTGGATGAGAAAGAGGGATTGAGAGAGGTGGATGAGAAGATGAGAATGAGTGAGAAAGTGGATGAGAGGTGGATTGAGAAAGGGGATGAGAAGAGGGATGAGAGAGTGGATGAGAAAGAGGAATGAGAGAGTGGATGAG